AAGATCCAGGCAAGCTAGTAAAGTTGTTCTTGTGGAAGCATAAAGATTCTAGAYATGATAAGCCTCCAATGTTATTGGACACTACTAATATATTGCAATTAAGCAAAAGTAATTCCCGAACCAACCAAAGAAGACATTACCCTATTTTGGCGATGTTGCATTTTTTCATGGTAAACATGAATGCTAAGAATTGAAGTCTATGATCTAGAYGGGATCCTCTCATGTTGACCAATTGACAATTTTTGAAGGTGGTTTTGAGAGAATACACAACAAGGAATGTCCTTAATGCCGGTTCCATCAACATAAAGCTCTTTCAATGTATGTCTTGCACCAAAGAAATCAGGAAGTTTGTCCACTTTTAAGCAACCCGAGAGATTCATAACTTCTAGAGAATCCATTTCGACTTTGAAGGGAAAACTCCTAAAACGTTCATAATTTCTCATATTTAGGACAAAAAGCCTCTTCAGTGTTCTAAAAGATGGGTGAACTTTACCCAGTTCACACAACCTTCAAGAATTAGCTCTTTTAAGGTAATTTGTAATCCTAGTGGAATCAAGGGTATTTGTAATGATTTAGCTTCATTACTTTCAACCTCCTAAAACACTAACATCAAGCACAAAAAGGTAAGTGCTTAGATCACGAGGCGTTAACAAGAGAGKAAATGCATGAACAAGACAAATAAGTACCTTAGGTGTCGTCTAAAGACTTTTGATGCGGATGTAAGACAAGTCGATTGTAACAATGTTTTCTGGATAAAAGTCTGAAGGGAAGAACTTGAGAGGGCATCCATGCCAATAAAGGAAACTTAACTTATTCTATAAAAATTCCAACCTTGCAGAGTAATTCACGTTAGAGTGCGTCCAAAACTTTAACTGAAATGGATGCCAAAAGTCTTCGAGTTTTTTATCACAAATTTTTAGAATCCTTAAGTTTTTCATATGTACAAACTTTACCTTCCATGCAAACCTTGACTCGATACCTCTTGCAAAGCGTCAAGAATCACAGATAATTTTCTAGAAAAAATCGTATAAAATAGTATATGAAAAATGAATTCACATCTTTTTGTTCGGGTACCCAACCCCGTTTGACTTTTCCAGATCAAGATAAATGCATTTGCAAGAATCAAAAAGTTCACAAAAATTGAAAATTTCATTTACCTACATAGTTGAACCTTATTCAAGAAAACAATATAAATGGTATTTGAATCAAAAGAGCTCCCTGTTTTTGCTATAAAACATGTCAACCAAGAGAAATCGATACCATTAGCTATATAACCTATTTTATTTGATTTTGAATGCATATTTTTTTCACGGAGGTGGCTATATGGGTATGAATATATAATAAAAAGAGCTTTTATAATATGGTGTTTTTTAATTTATGTAATTGTTTTTTTTTCTTTCTATATTCAATTAACTAACTTCATATGATGGTTTATTATAGTTTTCTTTTATGTGTAACTCATTTCAAAACTGGTTTAATAAATAGGTTGCAAAACAAGCATTAAGTTATATTGGAAAGATTATTTTTGTATTCTACCGGTATAATTCTTAATACTATATACACATTTGCAACTAACCATTTTTGTACAACTTTAATTTCAACATTGGAGCATTATTGATGTCGGCCATGGTGTGGAGRACCATGTCCTATTCTTTAGGGAGGCCCATGACCAGGATAACAAAGGGTGTCTGCGCTTAAATGAGCATAACTTTTGTGCAAGAATCTATTTTAGGTTCATAATATATCAATTCGAAGCTTGAAACGAGGAACACGTTCTGCGAAAGTGTTCGTAGAATCAACGGGATCAATCTTCGTTCATTTATCGTACGTTGCATCAATTACTTTTTACAAGTACATTATGTGTTTTAAATTGTATTTTATTAGTTGTCAATGAATTAACAAGTTACGCTTCATCTCAAAGTAATTACATATTTATTTTCTAACAACACATTTTTGTCATCGCRCAACGCGCGATGCCACACACTAGTTTTTTAGTAAGTAAACCATCGAATTTCTAAAAACTGGTTAACTATATCTTTTAATTAAAAAACTATCRGTAACTGACTAGGAATGTGTTAAAGTAGAAAACAAATCTTAATGGGTTTTGCTGTGGCCAAMCCCTACAAGAATAAACCCCTTGCAAACAAGGGTGTCGCTCCTCTTTGCCACTCCTGTTGCCCCAACGTTGTCCGTTCTTCATATCGCCTAACACRTTTTTGACCCTTGTCATTGATCTTCCTCTTTTTAATCTATTTCTTATCCATCAAAAGAGGGAGAATCAAAAGATAACCGGTTACAATTAGCCTTTTTTGGGTTAAAAGGATATACATAACAAATTTCTAAATGTTAGATTGTTTAATTTATTGAAAAAAAAATGTCCAGGGACTTAATCATCCAAAATGAGAATGTTTAATGGTTTTTCATTCAAAAAAAATAGTTCAAAGGCTTAATCATTCAAAATAAAAACGTTCAATGGTTTTTTTCATTCAAATAAATTGTTTAAAAACTTAATCTTTCAAAATGGCATAATTTGTTAGGTTATTTTGAATTTTTCGAGRACGAGTCTTTTAATTAAACTATGAGTAAATTGCAATTTGGTCCCACTGGTATGCTGTTTTTTTTGGCTTGGGTCTCTACAAATTTTTTATTGCATTGTCTTGTTTTATTCCCACTTTTTCTTGGGTAGGCAAAAAATTAATAGTTTCTTTTAGAAATATAATAGAACGAAATTTGGTCCATAGAACGCCATCAATATATGTAAGCATCCAAATAAACCTGTGAATCCCAGATCTAACAGTAAATAAAGAACAAATCATAATTGAAAGAGATTGAAGATGAAGAYAATGAATCCGACCAGCTTCATCTTATTGAAAGCAAAATTACAATCTCTCYCTACACTTTAGTCGACTCTCATTGGAATGAATAGAATAATTAATTCTAAATCTATGCCCCATGTCACCTTTTTATAGAAGACATTTACAATGAAAACCCATTAGCCCTTAAGCCTAATTACATGAATATTTTTTGATTAACCTGGATATCCAACCCGCTATGCTAGCCGACTAATCCCAGAGCGACCACCTGCTTTGCAGATAGCCTGGAGTCACCGCATTTGAACCTCCGTGGCCACAAGGGGATTTTTATTCCTCATTGGATTTGAACCTGGACCTCTAGGTACTTTTGACCTTTGGAGCCAAGCTCAAACCAATCAGGCACAATATTACAATACGATACAAAGTAATTGACTTTATAAAACTTTCAAATACTTGGGATTATTTTAGTCCTAACAAAACCGCTRTATACGATTCACTTTTATATGATAACAAATTAAAGCGTCATATCTAAAGGTGTTGTAATCAGTTTATTGGATGTTTTTGGACATCTTAACAAATTTTTTAGGACATTTTCAATGCAAAATGTCACATTAGCTATTTATAGGACACTTTTAAGAAATTTTCTTATAAACCCATATATTTATAGGACATATGTTTTTACAAGACACATTTCTAAATAGYGTCATATCAAATAACTAATAYGWCGTTTGTTATAAAAACGTTTTAAAAAAATTGTTACGATGCCCAAAGTGTCGTATGAACTTATTACAATGACTATGACGTTTTAATTTTTTGTTCTATAAATTAAGTCTTATAAAACGGTCTATTAAGATGCTTAATTTGTTTTTTGACTCCCAATCAACCTAATTTTATTATAGTGTAAATAGGTGGTAGAAGGTTTAAAAAATTAAAATTTGAATTAAGCACTCTACTAAATTGTCCTAATTTTGTTATAGTGTAAATAGCTGGTTATAGAGGTGATATAAATTTTTGTTTGAGATAGTTGTCCGGGTAAAATTTCAGATTGTACGACCTACGTAAGAACATCAGTGACGTACGACCATTGAGCTCGCAATAGTCGCGACCTAAGACATCTTACGACTCGAAGCCATAAAAGAATATGACTAAAATACACAATCACTTACGTTATGAAGATAAGATGAGTAAGGGCGCGCCCTCATTACGCCTTATTCAATGGAGCGTTGAACTGTCTATATAACAAAGCAACATATCACACATTCAAAACATAATCGTGATAATGGTCGACCAAGAATCCTATGAAGATACTAAAACTACAGATAACATACATAATGAATCGAAGACGATATAAATACTTGCACCTCAGATCAACTGGGATACACATTACTATCGGTTCATAGTCGCAAATTCCCTCTGAAATACACTCTAAACTTTGTTATAGTTCTTACGACAATTATCATTTCTTACGTCATTTAGTTACGTACGACCCGTTGTAAAGGACGCCTCCCACTCTTTTAGGATTTTCCACGTCACCAAAATATTTGTGTTTTATACTCTCTTTAGCGAATTTTCTTATGTCATATTACATAAAATTATCTAATTTTAGTCGAAGCTCCACGTCCCAACCTTAAGTCATAGTTGTGCGGTTTTTGGAATAAACAACAGTGATACCAAAAAGAACCTGTAAAGACAAGGGTTGGGTTCACGTGAGACCAAGTTGTTTTCGTGAGACCACTTTTTTATACTTGAAATTTCACAGCAAAACACTGTGAAGGTAAAAAAGTTCCGAACSTTTACAGCAAAGACACTGTGAAGATTATTTTTTACAGTGTTTTGCTGTGAAGTTTCAAGTATATAAAAATGGTCTCACGGGTCTCACGTGATCGTAAGTCGTAAAGGCAAAACCTTCAAAGTAAATCCCAATTAATGGCATACCATGTATGCTCAAATAAATCATCAACATATGAATTTTCTTCAATGAAAGAAAAAGACGACATTTTTTTTATTAACCTGGATATCCAACCCGCTATGCGAGCCGATTAATCCCAGGGCGGCCACCTGTTTTGCAGATAGCCCGGAGTCACCGTATTTGAACCTTCGTGGCCACAAGGGGATTTTTATTCCTTCGTGGTTTTGAACCTGGAACCTCATGGTACTTTTGATCTTTGGAGCCAAGCTCAAACCAATCAGGCACCACCCTTGTGATTAAAAGACCACTTTGTTATATAAACACAATGCCTGGACCCTCATCTTTACTCGATCCGGAAACCCACYCATGATTTGGGTCGAAGATACCACCATCTTGTGGTTGAGTTGAGAGGTCTTGGGTCATACTTAAATCCATATCTTCCTGCATATCTTCATCACAAAAAAGTCTTACACCACATTGCTTCACCTCAAGAAAGGGACAACTGAAGGAAAAAGTTATCAGATTCTTTGCTTTTATCCAACTCGGTTTAGACTCCGAATAATGCAACCATATCATATCTGACCCAACGATCCTTGTGCAGTTATCCACGAACTCATAAGATATGCCACATGACTGCTTCCGGTGCAAATTACCTCCGTCAAAGTTGTTCACGGAGCATCTTAGAGAGCTAAACTCATAACCTTCAGGATTATTGCAAGGTTTTTTGAGCGTGAAAACAGCACAAGCTACATATCCCCGGAATTTATTATAGCGCCAACTTGAAGGTAATACGACCATTACACCTTTTCCCGTACTTTGATGTGTAAACCACCGAGGAATTCTACTTCCATGAATATGGATATCAAAATTTCCACCGAAGTCATTTAGTCCCTGCACATTGAAGATTTCACAAACGTTTAACATGTATACACACATTTTGAAGCATATAAAAGTTGGTTGCTAGAGCTGCACTACAGCAAGATCGGGTTTATATGACGCCAATTTTTTTAATTGTCCTAATAAACWGTTTTATATATAGGACTTACGTTTATAGAATCAAACAATTGTGTGTCCCAAGTAAATGCATTGTGATAAGCTTAGAAGACGTTCTTGGCCTCCTTAACAAGTTTTTCAAGACGTATAAAATTTTTTACACGACACTTTTGAGGAAGTCCCAAGGAACTTGTTAATACGCGCAAAAGTGTCATATGAACTTTTTTCAACGCTTTTTGGTACTATATAAACTTAAGTTTTATAAAACAGTCTATTAAGATATACTTAATCCTATAAACCTGAATTTTTTGTTGTAGTGATGCGAAGTTACAGACTTCAAGAGGGAACCTGTGGCAACAACATAGACACCAAGCTTTCAATAGTATGTTTCTCGACCAATTTTCGACAACCAAAGAGATATATCTGCAAACCCCTAGGATGCATGATTGGTAGCCGTCTCCGCACTTCGTGCAACGAGGTACAATGATATGCTTGTAAACAATAAAGGYTGGGAGGAATTTCTGGCAATACTTCAAGCTTCTCACAATCACTAATATTAAGATATTCAAGTTGATCTAGTTGACTCAAACTTGCAGGCAAGCTAGTAAAACTATTCCCACGAAGGTTTAATTTTTTTAAACATGATAAGGCTTCAAAGGTGTCAGAGCTCACTTCAGATATATTGCAGTTCATAACGTGTAGATCTGTTAGAAAATGTAGACTCGCAAATGAAGGGGTCACAAAACTTTGGGGATGATGCAATTTACTTGGTGAAGATGAAGGTTGAAACTCTGAATTCCGCCATCTAGACCGGATCCGCTGGTGTCCATGTATGCACAATGATTGGAGGTTGCTTATAGAGGATACAATAGATGGAGGTTCGTTTATGGCAGTTGCATCAACACCAAGATTTATCAAATTCTTGATTTTGCCTAACACCTTAGGCCAATTCTCCACTTTTGAGCATCCCCGGATAAACAAATATCTAAGAGAATCCATTTGCACTTTGTCTGGGAAACTCTGGAGGTTA